ATAAATATATAACATTTTTGATGATACTGTAATCTTGAAAGTGACACTCGTCAGATATGTTTGCTGAATTAAAATAGTTTCTTTTAATTTTTTTGACTAACCTAATTAGAAATCTCTAGCATTGGACCTTATTTAACGTCACAATTATGCACGAAAGCTATACTTTTTATAAGATAAAATATGGCAATTTAAATCTAGTGGATCATCGCTATCGCCTGTCATAACCAGTATATTGTACAAATTTACTCTCCATTCTAACGCTGTGTCATCTTGATGTCACGTGCAATTAAGAACCAAATTTCAATTAAATGCCAATGCGCGTAGTTTTCTTGGCATCTGACAAATCTGTAGCATCTATTATCATAGAACTGGAATATATTTGTGACGTTTTAACATTAAGAGTTTTATTTAAAATCTGTGATTAATATTCGTAGATAACTCATTTTGGGAAAACATCTCTGTGGCAATAATGTACCTTAAATTCTGTAAAATATTAGCATACATGATTAAATGAGTCTTCAGAAAAGAAGACATGGAACCCTTTGCTACAATCGTAACGAAAACAATAATATATCTCTATGCAAAAGCAAGCGTCAGTTAATGTCCAAAATTAATGACGACGTTTCTGACACCATTCAATGATTAATGCATATATGTATATCGCATGGTTCTGCTACTGCCTTTTGGATTTGGATATGTTTTCTTTTTGATATATCATCGTTATGCAATATGTTACAAAACTATCAGCTCGAGAGCACGAATCTCCGAACTTTACCAATATTTGTAGTGTCAGGCGTTTTGCACATATACAAAATAAAAATAATCTCCAAAATAAGCATAGACTATTTTTGGTCAAGATTTACCATTATTAAAATTCAAACTAACTTTCTACACGTATCAGCCAATATCTATTTAGCTGCGTTAATGTTGATCTTGCTGAAGAAAGGCACATTATTTGTGATTCCCAATATTCTGGTAAAATGACCGCATTTATCATTGATTTGCCATTGATATTATTGAGAAATTAATATACTAAGGAAAGAATTAAAGAAATAATAATAATAATAATAATAATAATAATAATAATAATAATAATAATAATAAAATTCTGCATTATTAATAATAATAATAATAATGATGATGATGATGATGATGATGATGATGATGATAATAATAATAATAATAATAATAATAATAATACTAATACTATAATAATAATAATAATAATAATAATAATAATAATAATAATAATAATAATAATAATAATAATAATAATAATAATAATAATAATAATAATAATAATAATAAAAATATGACAGATTTTAATTTGGGAAGAGAAAATAATATAAACAAAAAACAAAAGTTATAAATGAAATTAATCAATATGTTATCCATAACACTCTTGAATCCGGAAATTTAATTAATACCTCAAAGAGTACAATATCTCTTGTCAGCTCTATGTGGTTTGTTTGTAGTGTCAATATGTTCTACGTTTTGGACAGTAGCCTGCATGTTATAATGAATGATTGGGCCGATGTTAAAAATACATACAAGTTTCATCCTATTTTGTTTAAAAAATAAATGACTAAGGTATATAAACAGACCATCAAAACTAACGACATTCGAAATTCTGAAAAGATGCTAGAGAACATTCTAAGTAAACTAAAAAAAATCATTGGTAATTTCTTATTGGTGCTTATTTTCAATACGGTTTATTCGTGTACATATTTTCGAGTATAGGGTAGACAGGCAATAGGAAAGGTAGACAGGCAATAGGAAAGTGGTTTATGTAAAATTCCTTTTGTATACTACAAGGATTGACTTTGTTTCAAGTCATATTTTTAGATCAAGTGCTCATGAAGAATATGTTAATTTTATCCAATTAATTGATATATGGTTCTACAATTTAAACTTTTCAATGAAGTTTACAGTTCTGTGTTTCTTCTATAAATACGTCATTTTCATTCTCAACAAGTTATCAGTTATGCATGGAAGATACTGTATGTAGTAAATATATTAGACGATGTTTTTTTTTCTTCTAGTCTGCTATATTTCTCAGGTATGTTATCAAGTCTGGTTTACTAGTCTGGTATACTATCAAGTATTCTATATAATGAAATCTGGTATCTTATAAAGTCTAGAATACTATCAAGTCTGGTTTACTAGTCTGGTATACTGTCAAGTATTCTATATAATGAAATCTGGTATCTTATAAAGTCTAGAATACTATCAAGTCTTGAACATTATCAAGTCTGGTATAATACTCTGGTGTATTAACAAGTGTGGTATATTAGTCTAGTATAATATAAGTCTAGTATACTAGTTCGGTTTATCGCCTAGTCTGGTATACCATTCTGGTATATCAAAAAGTCGGGTATAGTAATCGAGTATACTATCATGTCTGAGTATCATCAGGTCTGGATTACTATCAAGTTTGGAATACTATCAAAGCCTGCTTCAAGAATAAATAGTTGTTTGAAATGTATCAGTATGTTTTTAATTTCGAATTTAGGTTTACAGGTCAACACAGTGCTGAAAATTAGACCGTAATATCTTCAAACATTATCACTTTTGATTAAAAAAGGTACTCAGACGTTCAGCTTTTAATATATCTGATAAAGTTCCAATTAATGACTATATTTTCAACAACAAATATCAGAAAAATGCTTCATTTCTTTTCGCATGTCTGCCACAAGGTACGTATAGCACTACAAAATATTAATAGAACTGCTGACAAATATATGGTTCTTTATATGTGTTCATTCTTCAATCAAAAGCATATAAACTGTGGTCATAAAAAGACTGATGAATCACATAAATGACAAAAATATGCTATGATAAAGTGTGATTTGTGTTGTTAAGACTTGCAGTATCGAAAGAGCTTAACATTATCTTTAACACATCAGAATACATGTGAACAAAATATGAACTCTGTTTGATATATATAATAGCATACAGTATGTCCTAAACCTACAACTGTAATTGTTGCCTGTATTCTTTTGTATTGTTAAAATAGCTCATTTGGTAGAGAGAAAGGTCTAAAATAACGATAATATGGTCTATAATTTCTAGCGTAAAAAGTTGCAACGAAGTTAGAAATCAAAGTTGTGTGTCCTTTGATCTACTTCTTATTGATTTGTAGAAGGCAAAGCACCACCAAAACTTGTTATTAAAAGATTCAATCATAACTGTTTTTGAAAGGTTTACAAAATTGGTATAAAAATCAATGTATAGTTTCTGTGAGGTTTCCCAGAGCTTAGAAACTTTTAAGTCGCAACTTCTGCAAGTTTTGATTGAAGAGCTTTTAATTTCTCAACATGAGGGAGAAGTCTTTGAAGTTGTAACTTTTAAAAAGTTGGAGAGGGGTAATTATGTCGCGAGACATTTCTATACGACAAAAATGACTCATTGTCCAGTCGTCTCTATTAGTATGATGGACTGTTTAAGTTTGTAGATTCCAATATACTTAAAGGGAGAAGGAAAGGAACAAGTTGGACCATAGGAAAACCCATTGGACATCGACGCTGTTGAGCACACAACACTGATAGAGAGGTGGTCTGTACTATATATATATATATATATATATATATATATATATACACACACACACACACACACACACACACACACACACACACACACACACACACACACACACCACACGCAATAGTTAATATGCCATGAACTGCATTAACGGAACAAAGTGGTTAAAGAGTCTGAGAGTCTGTCTCGGATATTGGAGGTCGTGGGTTTGGATCCGGGGCGAGACTGAATGATAATGAAAATAATGGTACTAGCAGCTGCCTCACTTGGAGCTCAGTAGGAATAGGTTAGTTTTATGACTGGTCAGCCTGGTGTCAGCGACATGTCTGCGTTATAATTCCCCTTTGCTGTATATATTATAAACTGGCACACTGCAGACACTGTATCGATATAACTAAAATTGTTAAAGCTACGTTAAAAATCCTTGAGCACAAATACACGCACAGGAAGCCCTGGCATAGTTACTGCTGTTCAAATCAACAGTAAATATTTCCGAGATATAGGCAGATAGCACAAATGATGCTACCATGCGCCAGACAATTCAAACCAGCACCACACCATGTATCTATGGAGACAAAAACGACCCATAGAGTGAAGTACCATGAGATATATGATTAAGCCAGAAATCAGACACATCCCAATTTGTATTCTACCATTGAAATCAATATTTTTTCCTGTTTTTCAGTTGAAATTATTCAATAAAGGTTTGTTACGTTATATATTTGGATTATGATTTATAATGGAATACATTAGACGGGTTTTTAGGGCAGTCAATACAACCTCACTGGGTTTAGATATTATATCGTATGTACTCGTGTACACTTCACATAAAACGGCAAACAGATCTAAGGCCATATACCTAAAGCCATCGACTTAAGGCTACAGACCTAAAGCCATAGACCTAAGGCTACACACCTAAAGCCATAGACTAAAGACCACAGACCTAAAGAGACTCAAAAGATACAAAGCTAAGTCTGAAAACATTAGTACAAGCGAAAAATAATGCACCACTATAGATGGCGCCATAAGAAAACCTTTTCTTTGCTATGCTGTACCTATGCCGTAAATAACTCGGTGACACCAAGGAGCAATACGGTATGGTGCAAATAGCTTGTATTCGAGTATTGTTTGCTTTATTCCTAGGCAAAAAAGATCTCATTCTAGACATGAATTTATATACTGTTAGTTTGCTCTTTTTCTTCGGTTTAGGATGTGATGTGATGTGATTATGATTTTTAACATAGCTTTAACAATTTTTCAGTCATATCGCTACGATGTCTGCACTGTGGCAGTTTATAGTGATGTCTAGCACTAGGACATCATGCTGTAGACATATAGCATGATGTCCCACCCAGTCACATTATCCTGACACCAAGCCAACCAGCCCTAACACTAACCCCTTAATTCTGAGCGCCAAGCGAGGTAGCTTTTAGTACCATTTTTGTAAGTCTTTGGTATGACTCGACCGGGGATAGAACCCACAACCTTCCGCATACGAGGCGGACGTTCTAACCATTAGGCCATCGGAGCGGTATTATTAAGGTGTACGCAGTTTCTAGCATCGTTTCCGCAAAAATTCCAAATGAGTGAGTAATTTAAATAACTCGTCCAAGAGACGGAAGTATGGAAAGTTGAAGACACCGGAAGGAGATATTCGGCTGCATAGATAAAATGAATCTTGAAAAACCACAAAGGTATTGTTTCAGTCATATACAATATGTTCATTGATGTAAGTTTGTAATTATTTTCTTTATTTTTTTTTTATTGATTCATGTTTAATTCATACATCGATTCTCGGTGAGTTCGGAAGCTAAGGGTTTGCATGCATATATCTCGAATATTATAACACTCTTTTATTATATGAATTTGTTCGGAATGATGTGAATTTGTTCTAAATACCCCGTTTAGATGTAATACAAATCAAGTACTATTGTAATTTCAAGCTTTACTCTAATACAAATTGTGAGAAATAATGTATAAACCTCTCCGGTGGTTATAGCGGGATCGCTGGTTTGAACCCAGGCCGAGTCATACCAAAGACTTATGAAAATGGAACTTACAGCTGCCTCGCTTAGCGCTCAGCATTAAGAGGTTAGTGTTAGTACTGGTAGGAATGATATCAGGATAATGTGACTAGGTCAGATATCATGCTTCGGTATGATGTGCATAGATATCACTACAAACTACCCCACTGCAGATGTCATAGTAATGTGATTTAAAAATTGTTAAAGCTACGTTAAAAATCCAAATCACACATACACACATACTTAATTTATCTGTCTTGAATTATATGTTCAGCATGCATGCTAAGGGTTGATTATACTTTCTTTTTGTGAATGAATCGCTAATTAACAACTAATGTAGTTAAGACAAGATGTGAAGTCCCTTATTTCATTTGTGTAATTAAGCTGTGAGTTCTCTTTATGTAGGAAATTTGGCGTTTGTCGATCAACATCGTTCGACTTGTGATTTACAGCCCACAGTGGGATCTTGTAGTTATCAAAGAGATATAGTCACATCCTGGTTGCAGTTAGGAATGCGAGTAGCCGCTAGAGAGACAGTTAATTTTATGTTACTAGATTGTGTATCAGTATCAGGTTACGAACTGCCATAGCCTTAGTCTGTTGCGTAACAATAAGATGATATCTGAAATAACAAAAGTGGGAATATTGTTCGACGCTATATGTAAAAGAAAAACCTGACAAATATTTAGGATGCGTTTTATTTATTTGAAGGAAAAATAAACTCAATACGTGTACATGTAGCGCAAAAAGACATCCGATATTCAAATGACTGTTAAGGACCGGAGAGAGAGAGAGAGAGAGAGAGAGAGAGAGAGAGAGAGAGAGAGAGAGAGAGAGAGAGAGAGAGAGAGAGAGAGAGAGAGAGAGAGAGAGAGAGAGAGAGAGAGAGAGAGAGATTTGTCACCATCAGCGATGTGGGAAGGACCTGATACCACCGTGTCATGCTGACAAAACGGCAATATGAGTTCTATTAGTCTCTCGATTCTATGATGAAATTTTTTTATCAGTATAACATAACGGCTAATTGGAGTTGGCATAGATTTTGTAATTCTATTTCTAAGAGAACATGTATCATTCAGATATGCCACACATGTTCTACTTCATTTTGTTAATTTGATTATATATATATATATATATATATATATATATATATATATATATATATATATATATATATATATATATATATATATATATATATATATATATATATATATATATAGTTTCGCTGTTCAATACGTTACAAATAAAAACAAATTTAGCGCTATGAACTGCTGCAAAGACTTTTATTTATGGTCAAACATCTTATGCATCTTAGTGTGTTATCTACGTCTTTTTCAAACGCAATTTACTACTGACATTGGCTCAATTTAACCTAACCATATATCACCATTTATATTTTGCAATATGACGGTTATTAGGGTAATTATTGCTAACCTTCCCATATAAATTACATTGGCTTCATAATATGTATTGCCAACTATACGATGGACAACGTAGAATTCACCGGGCAAACCAATGTCAACTAAAGACTGATATATAATACGTTAAATTCTGAAATGGGTTACATTTGTGAAACAATATGGTAATGGCGCCATCGGGTAAGAGAGGTTTGCGCGGGCCGAGTTACGTGGCGAGATTTACTGTTATCGACATCACATAGCAACTCTAGACTGTTCTCCAATATGGCGACATGTGGCGAGCGAGCGATTTACCTGGCTAACAACCAAAGAACTCCTCCACACCTGGTCGAGAGATACCGTTCTCTGCAGAAGGAAAGTTTAATCCACAATAAAATTTTATTGGGAAATATTTCAAATTGTCAGAGAACCCTGGTGATAAAGCACTTCCAACTTTTGAAGTCGCCGTGATTTATAATCCCGTTGACAAGCCCACTCTGATAACGACGATTTACGAGGCGGTTGGATGCGAAAGCTAGGGATGGGGAGAAGTAGATCAAGCTTAATCACGGGGAGCATGTGCTTTATGGCTGTACATGAAAGGTTACGGACCATATTTTGGTCACGGGTGTACTTTCTACTTAGTATCAATGTCTACGTCATCATTCAAAACGTATTGGGATTACTTCCATCGCTGAGATTTACAAAATCGATTTACATCACTGTTTTTCTCTGTAATGATCTTAATTTTTCATAGAATCAATGCCTTAGACACGTAAACTGACCAAATTTATGACTTATTCAAACAACGTTCGGACGGGCATGAATGCAATATTTATGTTAGTAAAATCCACAATATACTATAAGGAGTGCACCTTTATAACGTTCTGTTTCTACCTGCTGCTAGGCTCTACGGACGATTATATTTTCATTGCTTCGTAAAATCCAATTATAAACCTATATTGAGTAAACATAAAAACAAACATTGATACATTTGCATTGATACCCTTCTATCTCCACATTTACTATCGCTTGTAGACTATGATACGTTGTCTTATATTTAGCATTTTCGTTAAAGATAGCTGAGTGGTTGCAAACATTTGATCGATGTTTTGGAGAAGGATAAATCCAATGACTGTCCAATATCATCTAAACTTAAGTTATCACCCAATGCAGATGCAGTCTCGTCGGATGAATATGTGGTGACAGGGAGGCCAAATACGGTTCATTCAAAGTCTGTTTTTAAAACAAGGTTTTTTGCAACAAAATTTATTTATAATGGTATTTAAGAACAGAGTCATTCAAATGAGATACATCATTGAAAATTACACAACCTGCGATCAGTGGAATACAGACTTCAGACTATTTATTTTACAAACAGTTTGATTTTGCTTATGTTCTTTGTCTAACGTTGGACAAGTTATATGTTATATCATCAAGGATTCGTGGAAGTAGTTTTCAATTATTCTGGAAAGTTTGAACAATTCTGAAGAACATCATACCATAATGCTTATAATACACCAGCGTACGTAGCACCTTGCCTATGTTCAATACATACTGATATCTTGGACCATCTACTGGTGCTTTTAAAACTTAGTGGTTCGTGTCTGAACAGTGTTTTTGCTTGCCGATTAGAAATCTGTACATTACGTAACTTTATATTGCCTCCCTATCAACATGGAAGTAGGTATGTTCGTCTTGCAATAAGTATTCTTCGGGACTGTTTAAAATCGTAACTAAAATCATACTTAAGTGAATCATTCAAGGTTTTGTATCATCTCCCTGCTCCACTGACCTTTCATATAGTATAGTATTTCCATCGTTGGCAAGTTCGACGACGCTTCCATGATATATAGCTATCACTTCAATAAAATATAACAGTCACAGTTTGGAGTGGTTTGAGAGAGATAATGAAGGAGGGGGGGGGCTGAACCCTTTTTGCTGCCAAGTGAAAATATATTTTGGGACAAGAGTGTGAGCGATCTCCGATTCAACGCACCACCACTCCGTATCATCCACACCCCACCCTCATACGCAAGACAGAAATAAACTTGGATTCACGAAGTATTGTTATGGGGCTTACATTAGAGAAACAATGATATTATTGTTAAATGCACCTTAACTTGATTGGTTGTATGTTAAAATTAGAATTGTGATGCGGTATAAATGTATTTGCTTAAATCTATTAATTGAAGGTATTTATAAAATAGTATTACACTTTAATTATAAACAGTAATGAATATGTACAACAAAGCATAACAAGTTTAATGTATTCGGTCCTTGGTATCTTTGACACCGACTAGCACAAGTTTAGTGTACAAAGGACAGGAACAAAATTACAGTTTGCTTAAAATTTAAAATATTCCTCATTCCTCTTGTTTAAGTCTCTAAATAGGTGTAAAAAAAATGGCATACTAAGGAAGCACAGGGAAACATGCACTAACCTTTCTGACGCTCTGTTCGATGTTTTGAACCATATTCTAGATTGTTTACCGCAGCTAATACTTGACCATGTCACGTGTCAAAAATGATAATTTCAGGGAAGGTTTACATGTCTTCTTTTGTCTACATATTTACTAATGGTTTGGACTTCTTCGCTAAGATCAGATGAATAGGTAATTATTATAGGCAATTAGCAGCAGAGTTGCCAGATCCTTGTCATACATGGACATAGTCCTATGTTATTTGTCGATTTTAAGCAAATTAAATATGTTAATGATTCAACAAGTACTTACTAACTTGAGTGGAGCAATGAAATGTACAAATGAAACCAATCATTCTGAGAATATTCTTTTTAATTACAGTGACCAACATGTCAGTGAACTAAGACTCTCAAAATAAAAAAAAAATCAACCTAGGCAGATTCTACTCCATTATCTTTGGTGCACTACATAGTTTTCAAGAAACTATGGTTTAAAGCTTGTTTTTATAGAACAGCACCATCATGAAAAATACATCTAATTCAATGTTGGTTTTTACCTATAAGGCTGCAACGAGCAATTTTGTAAAAATGTTATCACTCTTTGGTCACAAACAAAGTAGCGGAAAGAAGTAAAACCAACACCTTTTGTAAAACATAACGAATACTTTAAGTATCCAAGTTATA